GATTATATCCATGGGAACCTTTTTGCTTTGATTTCCTTTCCCATTTTCTTGTGTCTGATATTCTTCACAGGATTTGATCACATTAGTCTCAGTCGAGGCAATAATTTCTGAGTGTTGAACTTTAACCCCTTCTTTTACCTTGCATTTTTGAATTGCTTGCTCTAAAGGATCTTGGAAATTTCCCTCAAGGTTATCAGGAACCTTAGTTGAACAACTTGGAATTCCAGTCTGATTTATCCAAGGAACATCCTTATAGGTCAAATTCTCATTTGGAGGCCATTGTGACTGAACAAGTCGTGGAGTAGTTAAGTTGGCTCAGAGCATTTTTGAATATGATTTTTCACCTGAAAAGTGGAAATGAGGAAATTGAAAACTCTGCACATTCTTTTTCTTCTTGACTAGCATTTGACCCTTTTCTATGTCCTTTTTCTTTGGGTAAAACTTATCTCTCACAAGTGAACTTTTTCCATTCATTGATTCTTCATTCACTATTAATTCATCCATACCCTTCGGGACCAAATCTTGAAGCTGTCCTGAATTACCATACTCACTAATAGGTTCGTAATCATCAGAAAATATCACGTCGAACTCATCATTATCATTCAGATCCTCATTCATAGCCTTCACTGCAGAATCCTCTAAGGGTTTCTCTCCATGGATCATATCATTCATCATATCCATTAACGTGGTCATTTGTTCTTTTGAATCAGCTTGGATCTTTTTTGCGTGTTCAATCATCTCTTGTTGAGTCTTGATAAGTTGCTCTTGCAGTTTCTCAATTTTACCAACTCTTGCTAAAATCTCATTCATGGCTATTATCTTTCTTTAGGAAGACCAAGTTAGCTCCACTTTGATTTCAAAAATTCTATCATGGAATTCTCCACGAATTATTCCACGTTGTCATGATTAAATGCATGAAAAATATTTTAAAATAAAATGTAATTATGCAAAGATGCAAATACAAACATGAAAATGTAAATACAAACGTAAAAATGCAAATATGCAAAATGCAAATGCAAATGTAAATATATGAATGTAACAATAAAAATGCAAATTGTGCAATACAAAAGCAAACATAAAAGTATAAATGCAAAAATGAAAAATGCAAAGATGCAAAATGCAAATGTATGTATGAAAAGTGTTACTCAAGAATGATCATCTTAGAACAGATTTCATTGAACACAAAAGTTTCGGTACATCAAACAAAACTTTTACATGTATGGGATAGCTTTCACTCCTAACTTCTCTATTTCCCTTAAAAGCCAAATTAACTTCCACTCATGCTCAGGTGTGGAGTTATCAATCTTCTTTAATTCTCTCGCGAAGCCAGCTATGTTCACCAACTTATGAGCCACATTTTTTGCTTGAGCAGCAGCTTCATTCATGATATTGTCCTTTTCCTTCATCCTTTGTGTCAACTCTTGAAGTTGTAAACAATATTGTTCATTTTTCTTTGTGAGAAAGTCTTTGTGCTCAATAGTTATCGTACAAGATCTTCCTAATCCTCTAAACATTTCTTCAATGTCTTGTTCTTGTCGATAGTGGCTTTTAATTCAGTATCAATCTCATGCTGATGGATATGATATGATGCTTCCATGTTAGTCATAGTTCTATTCAACACTTGATTTTTGACTTGACATCTTTTCAATTCATTGATAGATGCATTGCGTCTTTCTTCTGTAACTCGTGAATTATGATAAAACTTCTTGGCTCGACCTTCATATATGTTACAGTTCTTTTTTAGTTTGGTGACCCCTGTTATCCACTCTTCTGGGGTGTTTCCTATGCCAGCATTTTGAAAGGTTTGACTGACATTCTGGAAATCTTCCTGTATGGTTTCCATTTTGGTGCTCAATTTATCGTTTTCAATCTTCAAATGACGTATTTGAGCCTCGAACCTCAGCAAATCTTCTTTCTTCTGGATGTCCCTACTGATGCCCTTACCTTTGAATACATTTGGTGTTAATCTGGAAGGATCTTCAGTTACCAAACTAGGTTGATCATTTATCATAAACTGTAAGGTTCCCTAATTCAAAAGTCTTTGGACTCGATGTTTGAAAGCAAGACAATTGTCGATGGTATGTCCTTGAGCTCCGACATGATATTCACAATAAACGTTGATGTCATACCAATTTGGATACAGAGGTTGGAATGGTTTTATGTAATATGGAGCCACTTCTCGTGATTCAAGTAACTTTTCATACAACTCTTTATATGATATAGGGATAACATCAAAATGAGAACCACCTTTTGTCTTGGATTAAACCTGAGTTTTAGACGTCGGGAGCTGACTAAACTTCGATGATTTCAGGTTACATGATTTCTTCTCTTTTCTGGGAGCTTTTACAGTTGTCATCATTTCTTTGGTATCTCCAGACGACTTGTGAATACGAATGATGATTGTCTGTAACTTCTCCAATTGATTAGGATCATAAGTCCCTTGCATATCTGACATTGCAGGGTTAAGTTCATTGAGCTCTCTCTCTTTCTGTGCAGAAATTTCTTTTCCTTTGTCCAAAACAGATATTCTATTGATCATCTTGGTCATTTGCTCTCTTATTTCTCGTATCTCCTTTTGCTCTTCAATGGGCATACGATCTTTGGGTGCATAGCTTGCCTCTATCTTCGGGGTTTTCTTAGGATGTCTTTTCTTGGCCGCATCATATTTTGTTTGATCATAAAACTTTTTGTCCATTTACGATTTATTTCCAATATAATGAACAGTCTTTCCAGTAAACACCTTTTGGTTATTCCATGATCATGCAATGCAAACAAAAGAAATCAATATGAACATATTAGAGCAATGTAACATGCATGAAAAAAAGAAAAAATAGAATAGTTAGTACCAACTAATGGAAAAAAATCTATCTATCAAGGAATAAATCTTAACCTCATGCTTTCTAGTTCCATGCTTTGTTTGGAAAAATTAACCTAACCACATGATTTCTAGTTCGCATGCATTTATTCAGGAAAAAGAAGAGGAAATAAAATAAATTAAAAGCTAGAGCTTATTTCTCCTTTGTGTATACCTACTGAAAAAATTTCGGCATGGTTTCAGATCGGGAGAGTTTTTAGGGTTTATTATATGCAAGTTTTCATTTCTAGGAGTAAAGGTACTCGAACTGTCCTTGTTGATGCCCCATTGGGCTGTCAAACCCTCAATCCTAGTCCATTACAGACTTTAGTGGATCGAGTTTAATTCGAGGGGACACGTTTCTCTATGCCTGACACAGAGAATAAATTCTCACGAAGACATAGAGTATATGAACCCCGAAAGTTACTTGCTAGGTCTGACACGGAGAATAAATTCTCACGAAGACGTCGCTTTCACTCCCACTTAAAAGGGACAAGCTTAATTAGAAAGCTTATGTTATGCAATGTAAGTGTTGTGTGTGAAGAGAAATGTTCAAACCTCTAACAGACAAATAAAATAATTAATACCTGAATAAAATAAATAAAAAAAATATTAATAAAATAATATAAAAATAATAAGTAATAAAAAATTTGAAAGAAAAGAATTAAAAATTAAATAAATGAATTTTTAATTTCTAATTAATATAGAAAATTAATTTTAAAGTTTGACGGTCCCCAGCGGAGTCGCCAAGCTGTCGTAATCGGTTTTCGCCCTGGTACGAAATTTTTATTTTGGCGGGAAAAATGATGTGAATAAATGATTTTTAAAATGTTTTGGGAGTCGCCATCGGCCTTTTGGGTCAGGTAGGTTTGAATACCTAAAAATTACCTTTTTAAAAGAGTTTTTATGAAAACATTAGTTAAAAGATGAACTGATCTGCGTTTATAACCAAAAATTCATTCTTTTTAATAATAAAAAGGGATTCGTGGTCGGTTATGTTTAGGGAAGGATTAGCACCCCTACAACGCCCAAATTTGGTACTTTTTAATTATAAATTGTCTCTATTATTATAAATTTAAAAATTTAAAATATTTAATTTATAATCCTATTATTTCAAAATTATAATTATGAAAAAAATATATTAATTTATATATATTTATAAATAAAATATTTATTTATTTAGAAATATCAGAAAATGACTTCTAGGTGCCTTAAGACAGCTCTTTTCTTCGATATTAAAAAATAAATAAATAATTAAAATAATTAATATATAATTTATAAAATAGGATATTTATTTATTTAAAATATCAGAAAATGGACATCCAGTTGTTTTAAGACTGTCCTTTCTTAATATTGAAAAATAAATAAATATTAAAACATGATTAAAATAAGTTAAAAGTAATTAAATAAGATTTTAATAAATAAAATAAATATTATTTATTATATAAATATATATAATAATAATAGTAATAATAATTAAAAGTAAACATATAAAATTAACATATAACTAAACAATGAATAAAATTAAAACTATATATTTAAAATAAATAAAACTTGTAAAAAAATAAATAAATAAATTGAAATTTGTGACTTAAATTATAACCTAATAGAATTAAATACCTAATTCATAATTAATTATTTAAAATTACAGGGATTAAACATGTTATTTTACTCATTTATTAATTTATGGACTAAAATAAAATTATATTAAATTCGAATGTCAAATTAAAAATAATCAAAAATTACTTTCAGTGACTAAATTGCAAGGATTACAAACTAGGATGGCTGCAGAAAGGGTTTGGCCATGCACGAAATTATAGATATACCCCTCCCAAAACGGCGTCGTTTGGGAAGGGGTATAAATACCCCAAACGGCTGGCCCGAAGGGCCATTTATCTCATTTCTCTTCTCTCTCTAGAGAAGAGAGATATCATTTCTCTCGTTTCTCTCTAAAAGTCACCGGTCGGCCACCACCAATGGCATTGATCGCCACTACCGACCACCACCAACGGTGGCCGGAATTTCCAAATTACCCTAGAGTGTAGATCTCCATCTCCTAAGGCCGAATATGGCCTTCGCTTGTCCTAAAACGCTTTAGATCGTTCTAGATCTAAAATAAATCGAAGGTTTTACCTTCGGTTTTTCAATGATTCCGGTGGTTCCAGACGGTTTGGAGGCTTCTATGATGGTAAGATGCTCCTTTTCCTCTTCTTTCTGGTTATTGGGTGTTGATTTGTTCTCGTATTCTGCTCTCTGTTTGGTTGCTCCGTGGCTGTTGGTCTCCTCTCTGTTTTCTGTTCTCTTTCTTGCTGTCCTCTTCCGGATTTTCTACTCTCTCCTTTATTTTGCAGGTAACGGTGGCTTTTATAGCCACCACGGCACTCCTCTCGGACTGGTTAAAGAGTGGAAACTTCGGTGAGTCACCATGGCTATGCGGTGACTCACCATATAGCTTCAACGTCGGGCTATTTCTGAGTCTTTGGTGAAGCATCGTGGCAGTGGTAGTGTCGACAGCAGGACGTGGGGCGGCTGGAAGCATCTGGAGGCGGCAGCTGGGATCTTCTGGAAACTTGAGGCGACGACATCAGTGCTAGGGTTTAGAAACCCTAGCTGAAACCCCAAATGTTTAGGGTTTCCATTTGGTCTGGGTCGGTTCTGGTTGGGCCTGGGGTTTGTATTTGGGCTGTGATTTGGGTTTCAGGTTTTGTATATGGGCCTCAGTTTTGGGCTTTTGCTTGTAATATTTATTAAATAATAATAATATATATAATATATAATAATAATAATAATAATTTTAATAATAATAATAATAATAATAAAACGAAATGAAAAAAAAAATTAGTGTTTATAGATGGCAAACCAAATGAAAGAGCTTGAAGAGCATATGGCTCTTATCTCCCAAATGTACCCTGGGGTATACACTCAAGTTGCACCACAGCAAGGTAATAATTTGTGTAGTAAAACTAAAACTTGAATCTGCTAATGATTTTCGATTTTCTTGTTAGCTTAAACAGACCCTTTTCTGTAACGAACAGGAAGACCAAAGCCTCGACGGAGGCGGAGGAAGAACAAGACTGCGGAAAGCGGCGCTGCAGCGGCAGCTAAGAAAAGGAAGCTTATTGACGAACAAGTTCATCTTCTTGAACTTAATTTTGGAAATGAACATAAGCTCGAGTCGGAACGGAAAGACCGGCTTGCTTCGGAGCTGGGGCTGGACCCTCGGCAGGTGGCGGTTTGGTTCCAAAATCGAAGGGCCCGGTGGAAGAATAAGAAACTTGAGGAGGAGTACAGCAAGTTAAAGACAATCCATGAAGGGGTTGTGCTTGAAAAATGTCGACTTGAATCGGAGGTATGTATAAATATTTCAACCTCAAATGTGTTCATACATTTTACGAAAGATCATTAACTCAGTTGGATGTTTAAACACAAACCCTTTTTCTATTAAAGCTTCCTTTTTCTCAGGAAAACCATTTTTTTCAAAAGTATTCTGGTTTCTCAGGAATCAAACAGATGTTAAGTTCTAACCCAATAACATGTTTTCCCCCCTTTTTTCAACATGAATTATTTTATTATTTTAAACGAAAAGATGATGAGAGCTCACTTCCGCGATTTATTAGATTTTTTAGAAGTTGACAAAAGAATGAAGAGCGTTGGTTCGAAGAAAATCAAGCAAGTGCCCCTTTAATCTTTATACCCTTGGAAAAAGACAAGGTGACCCACCATATTAGGGACGTGCATGAGCTCTAGGCTCGAAGAAAACCATGCCATGCTGTTGGGTTAGGACATTATAAAACTTTATCAACAAAACTTCGGACAAAAACATTGACAATGAACAGCAAACTTTGTCACTTCATTACACAACAAAAAGTACGTAGTTGATAAAAAACATGGGTGTTTACGGTCTTTTTTATACAGGTTTTGAAGCTGAAGGAACAGCTTGGAGAGGCGGAGAAGGAAATCCAAGGGCTGACGGAACGTATGGACGGGGTTTCGAGTAACAGTCCGAGTTCATCATCAATGGGCCCACCACCACCTTTCCTTGGGGAATTTGGATATGATCAAGATGTTTTCTACATAGGACAAGGCACTTATATCCATGGCTTCGACTGGATGAACCTATATATGTAATTAATAAACTAGTATCTGTAGATAATCATCATCACTAATTATCAAATATAATGTAATTAATCCCTAACTTTGGTTCCTTAAAATAGTTTGCTAGCATTAACAAGGAACCCCTAAATTTAGAAATATCAAGTAACGTACCTTTTGATTAAGATGGTTGAGGAATGCAATTCTCCTGCCCCTTAATTATACCCCTTAACATGTCACACGAATAATTCTCGTCACGTGTATTAAAGAAATTTAAGTTAACAAATAATAGTAAGTCTTTAATTCTTTCTTTTTGTATTTTTTTCCTTCTGCAGTTATTTACATAATATTATTTTTGTTTATTTCTTTAATTATTATTTTTTGTTTATGGACAAAAGCAAAACAAATTATTATTTAAAAGTAAAATATTATTTATTTGTTCATCACTAAAAAAAGTAAAATAATTATTTTAAAAACAAATAAATTAATTAAAATTTTGATTAAAATTATCAAATAATGTAAAAGATTTGAAAAATTCTTACTAAACTTAGAGGTGGCAAGAGTTTTTTAGATTGGGTTTAGATCAGAAATTTTGTGGGTTATGTTGATTTGGGTAGGATTGAGTCGGAACACTTTCAACTTAGGTTTATTCAAGTCAAATCAAATTTGGTTTGGGTCTATGGTAAGTTAGGTCTAGTCGAATATCAGGTTGGATCAATATTAGATCGAGTTAATTTTGGGTCAGGACAATATTGAATTGATTGATTTGTGATTCGAGTCAATATCACATTGGTTGATTTTTTAGTCGGGTCAATATCGAATCATTTTGTTTTTGGGTCGGGTCAATATCAAATTAGTTGATCTTCAGGCCGAGTAAACCTTGAATCTTCGAGTTAATTCAGGTGGAGTTATGTATGAGTCTAATCGAGTATATGTAAAATTGATGATATATTCTTGTAAAAAAACATCCATTTTTGTTTATAAATCTTATCATTCAGGCTTAGTTTCATTCAAATTCAATCATCACTTAGCGATGATAATTTAACTTGAACTCGATCTATAAGATGTGTAAGAGTCTGTGATTTTTTCATATTGATCTTATCTAAAATATTTACTATGTGATTTACTTAGTGAAAATGTAACACCCTAAACCAGTACGACATACAGTTGACCAATCAAAATGCCACACGGAACCACCAGAGTGGCTAACCAAAATTTTCTTTTAATTTTTTCCATTTTTTAAAAAATGATCATTTGTAATCACTCTTGCTAAAATAAATCAACTACAATTTAAATAAAATAGTTTACATTAGGAGCTCCCAAAATAATATTTAAATCATACAAACCATAGTTTAAAATGAGTTACGACTCATACAAAAATATACAAATCGGAGTTTACAAATTATACATGCCTTCTAAAGATGAACTCGCGACGTACTCTGCACTATCTGGGTCTGGATCACTGCTATCAAAAAGTCCTCAGACTGCTCCTCGAATAACCTGCGTAAGGAAACAAATTCCAAACAATGAGCTAACTAGCCCAATGTCACACTATTAACTAAGACATACTAAAAGTGTTCATGACATGATCCAGCTAACTGATAAACTGAAATAGTGAGTATACTTGTATACTACTGTAACACCTAAAACCCGTATAATTATACCTATGCAGATTATAGATGTCACATGAATTTCTCAAAATATTTTTCAATTCAAAACTGTTTTAAAATTTATTTTATTAAAAAGATAACTGATAATATAAAAATATCATATCATATCAAACTGTCACATACTATTTAAAACATATATTAGTACGTATTTATGCTATACTGAAAATAGAGTAAAACATTTTAGTTCAGATATTACAAACCAATTCCAAAATAGTTCAACAGAGCAACTAGGACATTTATAGTACATGCCACTAACTAAGTCAAAATCACATCATAAGATGTCTTACTGATATGGAAATATACTCTTTGATGCTTGATGTTGCTCTGAACTCTTTATTCTACTACTGGCTTTTTATCTACGTATGAAAATCATCACACGCTAAGTATATACTTAGTGGACAATTTAAAACAATAAACAGTGCAATACCAATCATACATGAAATATAATATCATTTTCAAATGTCAAAATCAAAACAACATAAAATAATAAAATCCTTTTTATCAACAATTATTGCCACAATTCTCAATCCATGAGGAACCCGGTATAGGAGTCAAATATTGTAAAAAATTGCTGAGGTCAAGCATTTCTCACCTAATAATGCACAGTAGTGCTGAGGTCGAGTTTTACCCACTTGACTTGTACTATGTGACTTTATTTGACACTATAGCACTACTTAATTCTGCGGCTGATAGACTCTATGGAATGCCATTAATACCACTCAACCTTAATAACATACTTGGGCATATAGTCATAAATTAAATCATCTATGTAAATGTATAACCATGTATAAACATTAGGGCAGTTCATACCCAAAATAACATCCATGTAAAAATCTCATTCTGATAAAACAAGGTCGACTTGTCGCAAGTCTTCCAGATGATGTATAAAACATCTATGTACACGATGTATAAAACATCTATGTACCATGTCATGCATGTATTGCACTCACCTCGACACTTTATATATCCAAAATATGTGCCTCACTACAGTCCACAATAACTCTTTTATACTTGATTTGATTCAATCACAATTCAATCACGATCTGTATAAAATCACAAATTCATAACAATACTTATGTTAATATTGTACTAACATAACACATCCCCAAAAAAAATCCATAATATATATTTGAAACTCATTTTCTACCAAAATACTTAACACTTAATAATTTCTTTTTAACATTGGCACCAATTTTTCCAATTTACACAAAATGGTCCTTCACCATTTTATCACTTACATTCTTAATACCAAAATTCCAGCAATGAAATTATTACCATTCAAATGCTTTTACAAAGGCATAATTTCATTTACGTACCCCAACTATGCGAATATTGTACTTAAATCACCAATCTTTTCAAGCTTCCAAAATGGTCATATTTCACATTTAAACACTCATTTCAATCCCAAAATAGTAATTTCAAGCATAGAATATCAATTATTGAACAATTATACAACCATTCACAACTTTTCCAAAATTACCGAATTGTTCCCCCAATTTTTCAAAAATTACAGAATGGTCCCCAAATTTTTCTAAGGCTTGTAGAATATTTCCTATATTATTTACATCCTTTATATATTTTTTCCATACTTTTTCTTACTCAATATCCTCACGGTCGAATACTTTAAACTTAAAAACTAAGTTTTCATGATTTTGCTCAATTTTGATTCAATTCAAGCATGAAATCAACTTCCAATCAAACTTACAACATCTCTACAATCAAAGCCCTAATAAAATCTCATCAAAACACCAAGTTTTTCAATTTCTTCATTTGACTAAAATTTATAGAATCATATTTAGGAAGTTTGAACATGTTTTAATCACAAATCAAGCTTGAAAATGAATCTACAACCTCGAAAACATAAATAATCATCATAATTTCATGAACCCTATCATGAACATAAACCATAAGATTTGGGATCTTTGAAATTAAGCAAGTTGAGCAAGCATAATTGGTACCAAAAGAAAGTGTTTCTTGACAAATCACTTTCCTATTTCACGGCATAACTTGAATTCCCAATAAAATTGCTCGAAAATGGAAAACAAATATTTTTCCTAACCTTGGTATAGCTCACGGCAATGGAGAGGATGATGAACAACTTTGACATGAAATTTAGATATTTTTCATGCTAAATTTAGCTTAAATTTACCTTTAATGAATATTAAATTCATTAAACTAGGAAAATACCAATTTACCGTGAATAAACTTCATAATTACCATTAAACCAAGACACCTACCCTTATCATCTTCCCATACCCTTATCATCTTCCATAAGTCAAAGATGAACAAATAAGATCTTAATTTACCGATTTACCCTTGCATTTTTCCAAAAAACACAATCTTGCCATTTTAAATCCAACGATCCAAATTAAACATGGAATTAAACCCTTAAATCTAAAGATTTATATTATTTTCCAATATTTACTAATGTGAAAATAATATTTTTTCGGTCTAATGTATCATCCTTCAGATTTTCCTTAATTTTCTATTCGATCCGATTTACCGAATTTTTTCCTCAACTTCCTTGTTATATAACTTTTATTACAAATCTTATATTAAAATTCTGATTCCCACCAAAACGTTATCCTTAAAATAAACTATTTATTTATGAGGCCAAAATGTAACTTTTAAAAAATTACTATTTTGGTCTCTAAACTTTTCTAAAGTTTATACTTTAGTCACCAAACTTTCAAAATTTTCATTTTGGTCACTGTCTAAATTTTGGGATATTACAACTCTCCCCTTTAAATAAAATTCATCCTCGAATTTTAAGACGTACCTGATATGAAAAGGTGTGGATATTGCTTCTTCATGTCCCCTCTCTTTCCCAAGTAGCGTCATCGACTTTATGATTTTGCCAAAGCACTTTAACTAGAGGAATCGTCTTGCTACGTAGTTCTTTGATTTCTCGAGCCAAGATACGTACTGGTTCTTCTTCATAAGTCAAATCTGGTCGGATCTTAATTTCCTCCGATGCAATAACATGTGAAGGATATGATCGATACTTCCTAAGCATCGACACATGAAAAACATTGTGTACTTTATCCAACTCTGGAGGTAACGATAATTGATAAGCCACTGGTTTGACACGCTTTAAGATCTCATAAGGTCCAATGAATCTTGGACTTAGTTTTCCTTTGCATCCAAAACATAAAATCTTTTTCCAATGTGATACTTTAAGAAAAACTTTATCGCCTTCCTTAAATTCAATCTCTTTTCGCTTCAAGTATACATAGGACTTTTGCCGATCAGATGCTATCTTGAATTTATCTTGAATTATCTTTACTTTATCTTCAACCGCTTTCAATAAATCTGGGTCAACAAGATTTTGATCTTTTAATTCGTACCAATTCAATGGTGTTCGAC